TACGCTGCTCTGATACCACTTGTTGAGAAAATTAGAATATTGAAAAGGAGGTCGCCGCTCTGCTCCCGAGGACGTAGGCATCTTTGCCGAACCTCGTTAAATCTCTGTGTTCTTCTGGATTTGTGTCGATTACTGTTTTCTTCGCCCTAATTTTCTCAACAAGATCGATAAAAGAAAAATAAAGAGATATGAAGATTTAATGATTGAGCTCAGAACTTACCTGAGATTAAATGTTAAAATTTCATCTAAGTTTTGAATATATACTATATTCACAAACAAGTTGAACATTAATCATGGCTCAATATCATATCTCAACAAAAAGCAAAGATCAATATGAAATAACAACTGTTGAACAAATAACATAAAGAAATGACAATTATTTGTCAACCTTCAAAAGAAGAAAATACATATCAAATAAGCAACAAATATATACAAGAAAGCAAAATAGGAAAAAAATCATAATGAAATATTAAAATTTAGAATATAAATATATTCACAAAACAAGTTAAATTTTAATAAATGTTTAATTTCCACATGACTCTATACCGCATCTCAACCAAAAGCTAAGATCAAGAAAAAATAGTACTAGCTTATAAGAAATGCAACAACAAAGAGACAAGATAATGAATAGCAAATAGTAGCAATCTTCAAAAGAAGGAACTTCAAACCAAAATAAATTACAAAATACTAACAAGTAAGTCATAAAAGAAAATCCAACAAGGTAATATTAAAATTACATCTCAAGTTAAAAAAAAGAAATTTGCTACTGAAGCAGCCAACAAAACGAAGAAGAACAACAAAAGGAAAAAAAGTAGCATGCAAGAAAGAGTCAAAGCAATAAAAACAAAATACAAATGAAAGAAGATTAAAGTAGCAAAGAAAAACTGAGAAGAAAATTTAAAAAAAAAAATATTAGAGTTCAACATTAATACCATAAAATTCAATAATATAAGCAGGTATAATCAATTTAAATTTCCAATTCCTACTTTTAAAAGTGATCTTCCAATGAATATTCCAGATGATAAAATCAATAAGAGTATATTTATTATTGAAAATTCTATTTTTTTCTTTCAAGCAATATAAAATAAACAGCAAATTGTAAAGAGAGAAGATGAAATCTCTTCTAAATTTTACAATAAATAGTATTATAATGATACAATACCTGGAAGAAATTAGAATGAACGATGAAAAAATTATCATAAGGTACACATTTATTAAGAAGATAATGGGAAATAAAAATTTCAAAGAAAAGATGATCATGATTCTCAATACTATTAATACAAAAAAAAAAAAAACTATTTTGAATATTTATTCCCTGAAGATTAAGATTATCACAAGTTTTAAGTTCTTAATGAATAATGTTCCAAGCAAAGAAAGCATATTTAATAGCATAACATTTAAACCATATAAGATTTAATGAGTCCACACAAGAAAAAACTTCATATAAGTAGAAATAAACTAATTTTTGATAATAAAAGTTTTTGTTCTTCCAAAAATAAGCAAAGCCCTGAGAATAGGAATATTTCCTAAAGAGTTGATGAAGTTTACAAGAGCATTAATTAAAAAATTATAATTCCAACTGTTATGCCTTAATACATCACATATTTTGCCATTATAATGAACCTTACACCAATTAATGATATTGTCTCCAAAATTTTCTTTCAAAGATAATCCATTAAACCAAAGAAAAAAAAAAGATAATAATCAACTGTTTAAAGTAATTTTAAAGGTTAATGAAAACCTAATTATTTTGGCCACTTTAATAAGATCTTGCCAAAAAGGAAAAAATTTGGAAGCAACAATCTTCTATATAGGACCATAATGATTAAAACATCAGTTCAATCTTGCGAAGAGGGAAGACCAATACCACCACTATGTTTAGACCTAGTGAATTTATCCCAAGCAATAATATGAAGATTTTTATATTCCTTATTACTTTGAAGAAAATTAGAAATCAAAGAAGGGGTTTTCTTTCTCAAACCTTTTGGAATAATAATTGAACAAAACTAGTAATATAAATAATTTCAAACAACTAACTTGATAAGTTGAAGCTTACCAACAAAATATAATTTTTTTTTTTCTTTCAAGCAACCAACCAATTGTTAACTTTATCAGTAAGGATATGACAATAAAAAATTAACAGTTTGGAAGGTTTTATAGTGATATACATATACTTCCAAGGGAAAGGTTTTATAGTAAAACAACATAATGAGAAAATATTATTCTGAGTAGAGACATCCACAACTTTAGAAAAAATAATATTAGAATTAGACGCATTTATGTGTAGATTTGTAGCTTTACTTGACTGATAGTCTTCATATATAAAATATCAGCTTTACCAAACATCAAAATATTATCGGATGAGAGGCTTTAGTAAAATCTTTATTCAAATAATTCTCAATCATAATAGGAAGTGTGCCCATAACGATAAAAAAAAGATAAGTTAAGACATGACACCCTTGACGAAGACGAGAAGAAGAAAATTACTATTTTAATTCATTATTGATAATGATAATAAAGTTAACATCATTAATACAAAATTTAATCCATTTAATAAAGTTAGAAGGAAAGTCAATCATTTCCATTATATGAAAAGGAAATTCTTGTTAACTTTATCAAAAGTCTTAGCAATATTAATTCTAGCACAAAATTGCTTAGGATATTTAATGTAATTAAAACCATAGAATTAACAGTCAACAATATCACGACCTTTAATATGAGCTGACTGAGCATGATTTATAATATTATGAAGGATGACTTTAAGTCTATTAACTAAAAGTAAATCAATTGCTTTACAAAAACTATTGCATAAAGATAAATGTCAAAAATCAAAGAAAGTAAAGACATCATATCTTTTTGGAATAGTAAATAGAGTAGTATTTTTAGCTCTCTTAGGCAACTTAGAAGTTTGAAAAAAATATTTAGTAACATTAATATATTTATTTCTCATAATAATTCAGATAGACATGAACCAATTACATTTTACAAGTGTTCAAAGAGAAGAACAGAAAACTGTGACTTCTTTAGATTGACAAATGGGTTGGAGGAATCAACAACCGATAGTGATTGGACATTGCGAGTTTCCTTAGAGGACAACTTATCTCACGACATAAACCAATTACATTTTAAAAATAATATTATCATTTAATAGTCTTTTTTTTAATTTTGATTGCGGTGTTACTGTTTTGTAAGGTGTATATTTTTATTTTGTAACATTCAAACTGGATTTTTACTTCCAACTATGAAATGTGCAAGTATGAATAATTTGGTTATAAACAACATCAAAGTATAAGAGGCAGAAATGTCATTTATTAAAAAAAAAAAAAACTACAACACAACTGTTTCAACATTAAAAAAAAAAAAAACTGACAGTCAGCTTCTGCGCAATAGCTTTCTGCCACAACTGTTGTGCAACTATTTTTTAATAAGCTTCAACTACTTCAAAGAGCCCCTTAATATATGGATAGTACGAACAATTCATACCCGACACACAAAATTTAAATTGAATTCAAGTACAAACGAGTCTGTATCAAATACTTGAAGTACAATTAGATCTTTTGATGCATTAATTGAAAAGTTAAATGAATTTATGAACTTGACATGCTTATAATCAAGTTAAGCGGCCGGACAAAAGGATTTCTACTAGTCAAAATATTTTCAATTTTGAGTTGCAAAGATGCTTAAATGTTGAAAGAATACATATGATTGAAGAAATTAACAATAACCATATGTTGAAGTGTTTTATAATTTCTGCTTAATCGATCAAAATACTTCCATTAAAAATTATAAATAGACCCTCACTTTCCACATAAGAGTAAGCCAGAGCTGAGATTGAACCTAAAACCTTGAAAAGTGCTAAAATAACAAACATTGGCAACTATCGTCGACTATCACCAGTTGAATCTTATAGCCCAAATACAATTAATATAAGCCCATTAATGTCATACAGGTATTGTTGTTTGAGTACTATTTTCATATAGCTATTGTCTTGAGTATTAAATTATTATTAATTACAAACAGTGATTTATAATTTTGTAATCCTGTTTTGTTAAATTTGAGGAAAGAGCAAAAATTGAAATTTCAATTACACAGTATATATATATATATATATATATATATATATTTTGCTAAAATTGATATTTATGATTCAAAGTCAGTTATATTAATCTAATAGTTTTTTAAGACGATATTTGGTAACATATTATTAATTAAATTTAATTATAAATTTAATTTAAATCAAACAAAACATAATAAATTAAAGATAAAAATTGAATCCAACTTTTTTTTAAAAATGTAATTTTCTCACATCTCATTATTTCTAGTTCGTAAATCCAGATTTAATATCTCACAAATTCTTTATCATAGCAAGAATTGAATAAGTAAATTATATTTTAATTTATTTTTTAATGTAATTTTTTTCAGCATTGTAAATCTAGAAGTGATAATTTTCTATTTTTTTAATAATAAAAATTTGCAGATTTCTATTGAGAGTTTTAACCCTTTTTTTTTCCCGCACTTTTATAAGAAATTAGACAAAAATTTTGCTGGATAACTCGCACGTAGTGTTGGCGCGGAGTCAGAGATGGCGCAAATGCAGAGGACAAGACCTGCCGACACAGTATATTTTTATAGGAAAATTTATATTACATATATGCCACGCAATTTTTATGTATATATACATCGGCCAAATTAGAAGTGCATAACACTAAGAAATATTCTGTCCGGACATCTCAAGTTTGAAAGATTAATCACCGGCGGCCATCTCATCTTACAAGTTATCGGCGGACAACGTGACCGCCCCAAAACTTGCTATTTACAAATTCATCCATTTTTTTAATTCTCATTCAAATATCAAAATTCAAGTTAACAGAGAACTTTATTTTAATCAAATTCGCCTAAATACGTGAATATGATAGTTTTAAAAAAAATTAGTAAATGCTTAATTTGTAAATATAATATTTTGGATGATCTGAGCCGCTAAGCTGACCGGGGCCAGAAGACTGAGCGACTCTCATCCTCATACCCGCGGGATCGCTGTTCATCTTTTTCATTCCGCCATTTTTTAACCTTTCATCTTCTCATCAGCAACTCGTTTCAATTTAATCCCTTTACCATTATCCCTTCAATCAACTTTCGATTTTTACCCCTCTTTACGACTCCCCTCTTCTTCGGCGTGGACGCCGCTCCTTCTCGTGACTTGCATTTTTTACTCTGACGCTTTCCCATGCTCTTTGCTTTCGAAACTCCTTGCTCCATGCAACTTTCTTTTTCCGTCTTCTGCCTCTGGCTGATTCCCTACAACGCTTCGTCACTGGCCTTCGACGATTCTTCTTAGGTATGGTCGCTCACTTGCTTTTGTTAAATATAAATTTGGTAGTTTACGGGACTTGAGTGATGATCTTGTTAGCATCTTTCGTAGGTTTTGCTGTGATTCTTTAATTTGTTAGATTGGTTTTATTGTTTTGAATGTTTTTTAGTTTGGAGTCGCTGGCTCAGCTGCGAGGATGCAGTGCGTTCTCAGTTTATACGCAAGCATCATGAAATTTGGAGTTTTACACATATTTTATTGGCTTACAGTTTTCATGCTGAGGGTTTTATTTATTCATTTTTTATTTTTTGTTAATTTAGAGTTCGAAATGTAGCAGCTTTGTTTTTTTGTGGTTACTGTGGGAAGCTTATTTCCGCATTTATGCTTTTCATTGGGAAATTGCTTGTTGATTTCAATAATTTGCCTTTGATTTGATGCCTCGTTGCTCTTCCCTTATATTTTGCTGAACTGCCATTGAGGAAGAATCTTCATCTTAATCTTAGTAGTATGGGGATAGTATTTTCTTAGAATTGTTTATTAGAACGCAGATAGTACTTGATAATTTTCTTATTAGTATCTTCCTTGCTTTAGGAATTCATGCCAAATATACTTTATCCAATGTAGTCTTGCCATTCCAACAAGTGATTTCGAGTTGGGTGCAGACAAATATATTTTTTTGGGGCATATTAGTATCTTCCTTGCTTTAGTATGTGATTCCTACAAGGAATTCTTATTAGTATGTGATGTCGAGTTGGGTGCAGACAAATATATTTTTTTGGGGCATTTACATATATGCCGGACAATTCTTTTGTATTTACATATCTAACGCGTAAACTTTCATATTTAGATTTATAACGCTCAAAACTTTAACTTCACTTCAAAAATACTGTCAAATACACTTTTTCATGCATAGGTTTATGATACTAAAGCATTATAAATGTAAATATCAAACTTGAGGTGTTAGATATGTGAATACATAAGAATCATCTGATATGTATGCAAACCTTTTTTTGAGGTTATATCTATCCTTTATTAGGAAAAAGGTGCTTCTAACTTTATGTTGCTTGCAATGAACCGGAAAATAATTGTAAAAGAGATCATCAACTAAAAAACAAAAAACACTAAATTTGTTCGTTTCGGCTTTAGCCTGTGTTCATCGTAAAAGAGAGAGAGGTTTTAATCACTAAAAAAGTAGTAAAAATTGTGGCATTCATTAAAAGGGCGCTCATTAGCCTTTTCTAAATTTGAGGTGGATACTGACTTGATTGATTCACACCCACTTCAGTATTATCTTGGGCAAATGTATAACCTTTAATTGGCTGATCTGGATATATTTTGTGGGTTGGGTAAGGTAATTTAAATTATTGCCCGAATTTGCCTAGTAAGATGGAGTTTAAGGTTTAAACTTTATAGGAATCTGGTTCTGTTATTAATGATTTTAGGTGTATTCCTCTTATTTCCTCTCATCGTAAGCATCGCTCGCTGCCATATTTGTAATGATTTTTTTTTCATTTTTCATGTGTTTTTAATTAGTTATGTAGCATTCGTATCACTCTATTGTTTAATAGTTGGAGACATTAAAGACGTTGATTATATTGTTAAATGGATAAAGATATAACTTGCAGGGCCAAAGCTAGTTGGCTAAAATAGAGAATTGCTGTAGGAATGCTATTATGTAAGGGAATATCTTGCGAACTTAGATGTAAATTTTATTAAAGTATAATTAATCCTATTATGTTATATGAATATCATTTGTCACTATAAGATAGTAAAAGAAATCAATCATAACCAATCCAAGTGTGAAAAAAAATGAGAATATTTAGATAAATGCATGATATAATAGGAAAGATAGATTAAAATTACATATATAGTGGGGTGGTGGGTCTGGCAATTAGCAACTTTTGAAGCTAATGTAATGGAAAATAAGCTTTAGTGGTTTGGGTATATACAAAAAAGTTAGTTGATACACCATAAGTTTGGTAGATACTCTTAGTTCAAAGGACTTAGAACAAGGTTATGGCAAACTACTGAATCTTTTACAATAAAATTGGCAGAAAATATATGTAATACATCATGCAGCACTTAATGAGGGTGAATGGAACATGAGGATTCATAGTGCTAACCATATTTAGTTGTTAGGATATAATGATTGCAATTTCAATGCTTCAATAACTCCCTCATTTCAGCACATTAAACCATGTTTTTTTTGTATTAAAACAAAAAATTCTATCTGTAATACTATGTGGCTTCATAAAACATCTCTCCAGCCTTTATATTGTCCTGGTTTCGTAAACTTTTTTTGCCCACCCCTTAGTCCACAAGATGGAATTTATTATGGTATAGATGAGTTTTGAACCTAAGACTTTGATTACCAACTGAGCTTTCTGGCTTCCATAAAGGTTTCATGAACATTTCCAAGGTAAAACCAACACTATTAGAAGCGTCTTTAATACTTTGTCTGTTTAGGTGAAGTTTCTTCTTGTGCCCCTATACCTAGTTTTAATTTTAAACGAACTCTATTATGAATGTTTCTCTATTTCTAGCGCATGATAGTCAGCATAATTTTCTAGATTGTTAAATATTAGTGCCTTGATAACCACTCATTTCTGTTTTTTTTTTCTTTAACTCATTTATGCCTTCAGCAGCTTTAATACTAAAAAATGTTGGGTTCTCATTATTGGTGGCTATAAATAAAAGGCCTCGTTCTTAATCCTGTAGTTTTCATTTTTACCATTGTTCCTCGCGAGACATTTTATTAGGTGATCAGTGAAATTATTACAGGATTTGATGTATGCATTGGTAATATATTATTATTATTTGTACTAGTTACTAATGACCTTTGTGTTTCTTTTAGTATTGCAGGGAAATTGTTGTTAAATAATCCCAATAATGTGGTTCTTTGAATCAAGGAACTCTTTTATGCCTTCCAAAGTACAGTATCAGGATTATTTGTATACCTTGAAAATTTATGAACTATGACTGAAAGATGAGGTATAGTAAATTGAATGACATAAAGATCAGCTTACTGTTTCACTTGCATATTCAATCTGTGTAATGGAACTTCCGAAGTTTTTTGTTAACTTTGAAGAAGCCTTATATGGCATCTTGTACTACTTAAATTTATAAAGTAATTTCTTAATTTAATAAGACTTTGAAACGGAAAATACCCATTACGTTTCTTAGCTTTATCAACACATTATTTACTTTATTTAGCTCTTTAGTTTTCAAAATGAAGTTAGGTACTAATTTCCATTTATGCCATTTGTATTATTACTAATAATGGATATAATGTCAATATAGTGATATTAAATTACTCCCCTATATACTGAGAAGACATAAATTTTCTCAATTTTATTATGCTTAAATCCATTACATAAAATTAAGCTACTAAATCTTTCATGCCGCTGCAGGGATGCTTGAGTTAAACTACATAAAGGATTAATTATCCCAACACAAACCACCATGATTGTTCTTTATTCATATCTTGTTCATGTCACCATTTTAAAATGCTGTGTTTAACATCAATAGGGATACAAAAGATTATATACAATGAGGTTGGTACTAGTAGCATTCTACATATTGCAAATTTGGACATCGGTGCATTAGTATCAAAATACTAGCCATCAAAGTTTAACTATATCCATTTATGCTATATTTCTTTTCTTTTTTTTTACCCCTTTACATTTAATCAGCTGACCAAGAGACAAATCTGCTATAATGCATTTACCATTTAATACATTGGATCTATTTTATTTGTAATCTTCTCCTTTTATTAAGCTTTCCAGGATTGCAATGGCTTCTTTGAATATTGTGGATCAGCTTCTGTATTAAAGAGTATGGCACTTTTAATTCCACTATAAGAATTGCGTCCAAATCCAAATTTATAAGCTTTTGAATTTTCATCATATCTCATAAAAACATATTTAAACCGTGGATCCTAATTTTGATCATAAACCAAGAAATGTATTCTAGACCTCAAGCTCGATGATAACTTAGGCTTGATACTTTTTATTCCATAATTCATTATTTATATGACAACATTATAGTTGATTTTATGGTATTGCATGTGACAAACTATAAGTAAAGCTTCTCCCCATAGTTTTTTTGAATTATTATTATTTTTGCTTTCAGAAACATTGCATTTATCATATTGACAATAGTTCCTTTTGTTTTTTTTTTCCTTTGGACCAGTCCTTATCTGGGAAGCATATGCACTGCTAATTTGGGTTATAATTCTGTTTTCCCCATCATCAGCACAATATAAATAGAATAATATTTTCTACCTTTATCTGTTTTTAATACTATATATGTATATATATATTTATTTTATTTTTGAATTTTGATGACATGGCATTTTAGCTTAAAAAAATGCTTCGTATTTGTGTCTCAACAATAAAAATAGATTTTTCTATAGAATTCATCAATGAGTATAATAATTATCCATGGCCATCTCTTGTCAAAATCCCCTTCTATTGTTCATTATCCGAGTGCTTAATTATAGCACAGTGTCATTTCTTTCTTCATTAGGAAAATACTTTATTGTTGTCTTCTTATATGCAAATGCCATATTATGTTCCTGTTGTCATAATTAAATGGTATCTAACCATTCCTAACTGCAAATTTCAAATATCTTTATTCTTCGCATGCAAGTCATTAATGACATTAAAAAGTAGTACTCGATAATACAAGTAGAAACATTATTATTGTTTATACTAACATTCAACATTCTTTCACTAGAGTAAACCTTTCCCACACTTCATTCTTAGCATTATTGATCTTTTAAACTTTATTACAGCTTTTATCCCCTTCAAATTAATAGATACAGGAGTTTATGTAATGCCAAGAATAAAAGGACATTAATACATAAAATTTCCTTGCAGAAATGAATAGAAATTCAACATTTTATTTTCCTATGATCTTTGTAGAATCCTGATTTCTGAGGCCCGAAGAATTGTCCATTTTTTTTAGCATCTTCAAAATGCTCGAATTATGAATTGACCTAAGTCATGCCACCAAGTTGAGCATTTTCTTGTTGCCATATTTAATTCATTGTCCATGTTTATATGCATTTTCAAAACAATAAAAGCCAATTCAGTAGTTATCTTCTTTGTTTATTGTGACAATGTTAGCTTATAAAATTTTAATTATTTTTTGGGGGATTTACATACATACCACATAGTTCTTATTTATTTACATGTCTAAGACCTGAAGTTTAACATTTACATACATAGCACGCAAATCTTTAACATTACATAAAAAATACAACTATTTGTAACTTTTCAAAAGTGAAATACTTCTTTTCCTGCATAGGTTTTGATTTGATTATGATACCAAAGTGTTTTATATAAGATTTTGATGTAAATACATCAGAATTGTGTGGTTTTTATGTAAATTTTCCTTTTTATTTTTGAAAATATAGTTCAGTTAAAATTGTCAATTTTTCCACAGTGATAGTAATTTTGGCTTTTCTTTACTTTGTTTTGCTATTGAAGTTGTTTGCTTCAAAGATTATAATCTTGTATTCAATGAAGTCTTTTGCCTAACATTTCCAACAACATTATTCATTTTAGAATTGTGAAAATTTGAGAAGATTTAGTTCTTTCCATATTTATCTCATGTGGGCCAACCACTACCTCCAAATAATGGAGGATTTGATTGAGATATCTTAGGAAACCTTTGAGTGGTTTATTCCCTTCTTATTTTATGTTTTCAATTTTTTTATTCAAAACTATTTTATTTTCTAATTTATGTTAGATATGCTTGATAAGTTTGTAAATAAAGAGGGATTGGTTTCCCTATATATATGTACCCTATTTGTGAATAAAAAATGAAGCAATTTTTCCTCCCCAAGTAATTTCTACATGGTATCAAAGCCTTAGATCAAACCCTAGCCTCTGGAACTCCTCCTATTGCAGAAATTCTGAACTTAGGACCTCCTTCTTTCGCTACATAAATTCTGAACTTTCCTCCTGCGTCGGACTTCCTTTCCTAGAGCCGGACTTCTCCTTTATGCTAGCCAAATCCCTATACTGCCAGTTGAATCCTTCTGCAATTTATGCCGGATTTCCCTGCAATTTCATCCAGATCCTTCTGCTGAAATTTCTGCAGCCAGATCCCTCTGCTGCTGTTTCTAAGGCAGATCCTCCCGCTAGCCTCTTTAACACGTTATGCAGAGTCTCCTTCCTGCTG